CGATGTCTATCACAACTGCCATTACGACTGCTACTTCGACGACTACGACTAGGACGACTACTACGACTATTACTGCTACCGCTACACATCTCACGGTTATGAGCACCACTACGACTACCACTCCAGCATCAAATAGTTCTACGACCACGACGATTACTACGATTACGTATACGACTACGACCAGTACTACTACGACTACGACTTACTTTCATGATTAATGTTATTGTTATCACCAATAGTTATTGCTACCATTACTGCTACTATTACTACCACGATTTCTAGTATTACCAAAACTACTACGACTTCTATTGCCCTTCTACTTCGAAAGAGTATATTACGACTACGACGACCACCACCACCACCACCACCACCACCACCACCACTACGGTTCCCCCACCCAGTACAGCGCTTCGTGGCCTCATAGGGAGAGCCCGACCGAAGGCCTCAGTGGCGGTACTCGAGTGCAGTTCCCCCACCAAGTACAGCGTCGCGTGGCCCCATAGGGAGCTCCACCCAGACTTCAGCGGCGGTGTTCGCATGGGGTTCCCGCGCCCACTACAGCGCTTCGTGGCCCCACAGGGAGCTCTTTCCGAAGGCCTCAGTGGTGGTGTTCGCATGCGTTTTCCCCACCAGGTGCAGCGCTTCGTGGCCCCACAGGAAGCCCCACCGAAAGTTTCAGTGGCGGTGCTCGCGTGCGTTCCCCCCGCCTTCGTGGCCCCATAGGGAACTCCACAGAAGGCTTCAGTTGCGGTGTTCGCATGGGCCCCCCCCGGCCCAATCCAGCGCTCCGTGGCCCCATAGGGAGCCCCATCGAAGGCTTCAATGGCGGTGTTCGCATGCATCTCCCCCACCACACAGCACAGCGCTTCGTGGCCCTAGAGGGGACTCCGCTGAAGGCTTCAGCGGCGGCGTTCACATGCGCCGCCCACAACCAATGCAGCGCTTCGTGGCCCCTTAGCTAAGACCCCACTGGCGGTGTTTCCATGCGTCTCTCCCACGCAGTACCACGCTTCGTAGCCCCAAAGCGAGCACCACCGAGAGCCTCAGCGGCGGCCCCGCCCCAGTGCTGCGCACCATTCACACGCTTCGATGCCCCATAGTGGGTTCCACCTAAAGCCCCAGCGGCAGCGCCCACTGAGCGGCCCCGCCCCATATCGGCACACCCGTCGCATGCTTCATGGCCCCATGAGGAGATCTTCCGTAGGCGATACCCGCAACGGGGGTATTCACAGCTGCATATGGCTAGGTCCTTCGCCGGGATAGTGTCGTGCCCTTTCATGTTACTGTGTGCTTCGGTGTGTCGTTGGGTGCCTCCGCGTGGTCTCTGTGTGTCTCAAGGCGACTCTGTGTGTCTCTGCGTGTGTGTTTGTGTCTCTGCGTGCCTTTTTCTGTGCCTCTGGCCCCTTGTGTGCCACTAGACGCCTCTGAACGCCGCAGTCTGCCTCTGTGTGTCTTCATGTGCCTCGGTGTGCCTTTGCGTGTGCGTGTCTGCATTGATTTCTGTGTGTCTCTGTTTGTGATTCTGTGGTCGTTGTGCTTCTCTCTGTGCGTCTGTGTGCCTCTGTGCGCCTCTGCGAGTCACCGCGTGTCTCTGTGTATCTCTGTGTGTCTCTGCGTGTCGCCCTGTGCCTTTGGATGTTTATGTGTGCCTGTATATATATATATATATATATATATATATATATATATACATAACGGCGCACCGGGTCCGGGGGCCCGGGGCCGGGACCTCGACCACAAATGTGCACCCCGGGGGGCCCGGAGGCTCGTCGGGGCTTGCCGGAGGCCTCCCCGGTCAGACAAGACGGCCCCAGAAGCGCCCAAGACGGCCCAAGAAACTTCCAAGAGGCCTCCAAGAGGGCTCCGAGATGCTGAAGATGGCCTCCAGACGTCCAAGGACGCCCCCAAGAGGCCCCAAGAAGCCTCCAACATGCGTCCCAAGAGGGCCCCTAGACGCAAAAATTGGCCCATTCCCTTCGTAAAACGTACATTTTCAACAACGTTGTCTTTTGGGCTTTCCGACGTTACAGGACGGCCCAAGAGGCGCCCAAGACCGCCCCAAGACGGCCCAAGAAGCTTCCAAGAGGGCCCCAGGACAGCCCAAGAGGGCCCCAAGACGGCCCAAGAGGCGCCCAAGATGGCCCAAGAGGGCCCCAAGACGGGCCCAAGAGGGGGCCCAGAGGGGGACCACGAACCGCAAGCTCGAGCCTTCCGCCCCAAGAGGCCGCCAGGAGGCCCCAAGGAGGCCCCTCAAGAGGCCCCAGGAGACCCCCAAGAGGCCCAAAGGAGGCCCCGAGAAGCCCCAAATCGGCCCCCACAAATGCTTCGAACCTGCTTCCAGGAGGCCCCCGACAGGTTCAGAGGCTCCCGAGAAGCTACGTCAAACTCCCAGCGAGCGGCCGGACGAGGCCCCCCAAAAAATCCCAAGAGGGTTCCAGTATTTGTATCCTTCAGCGCTCTCTGGCCTTCTTCCCCCTGCCCCCTTCCCTGCGACTTTCGTTGACTCAAGCTCGCCTCCTCTCCATTTCCTCTCTCTGCCTCTCTCTCTCTCTGTCTTCTTCTCTCTCTCTCTCTCTCCATCTCTCTCTCTCTCTCTCTCTTCGCTCTCTGTCTGTCTGTCTCTCTCTCTCTCCTCTCTTTCTCTCTCTTTCTCTTTCTTCCTTTCAGATTCCGTGTCCTTGCGACCTTCTGCAGTCCCCGACGTCGCCACGGCTGGATCCGCTCGAGCGTGTCTTGTGATGTGCGGCGGTGCGAAGCCCGTCCCACTGATCAAGGCACAGGTACGAAATGATGGGTCCATCATTTCTTGCCTTCCCATGTGCGTTTTCCCAATCGATTCCTGGGCCCGAGGTCGCAAAAATTACGACGTCGGAGGTCTGGGGAGGCGGGAAGCACGACCTGGACCTCCGACGTCTTGGAAAAATCACGACGGCGGTTTCGGTCAATTTTCGGCCTCCGGGGCCCCTCGCAGGGTCCCGGGACCGTCAGAAAACGACTCAGGATGAAAAAAGAACACATCCCCAGGAAGTCGTCGAGAGGTCCAGGGGCCGCGCACAGAAAGCATCACGACATCGGACGTCCAGAGAGGAGGTAGGAACACGAGGAGGAGGGAGCCCAGACCTCCTGGCGACGCAACACCAAAGACAACAAAAGCTTCCCCGCGACTTCCCCCAGAGACTCTAACTACAGAAACTCCTTTCGTATTCCGGCCAGAAGCATCCAGAAACGATGTACATTAGCCCTGGCGGGGGGAATGATGGCGATGGTGATGTTCATGATGACGACGGTGACGATCCTAGCTAGAACCTAAGCGCGCGCGAAGCGCGCGCGTGGTTCTAGTATATATGTATAGGTATATCGATATCGATATATACATGTATATATCTGTATATATACATATATATATATATATATCGATACATGTATATATACATGTAGATCTACATATCTATATATATGCTAATGCGTGTGCCTCTTTGCGTGTGTCTGTCTCTGTGTGTGTGCCTCTGTGTGTCTCGGTTTGTCTCTGTGTATATGTGTGTCTCTGTGTGTCTCTTGTTGTTATTGTGTGCCTCTGCGTGTCGTTGTGTGTTCCTGCGCGTCTTTGCGTATATTTGATTGCCTCTGTGCGTCTTTGTGTGGTCATGTGTTGCTGTGTGTCTGCGTGTATGTTTCATGAAGCCTCAATGTGTCGCTGTGTTCTGTGTGCGGTCTCTGCGTGTCTCTGCGCTGTGTGTCTATGTGTGTCTTGATGTGTCTCTGATTGTCCAAGGTTGTCTGTGTGTGCGTCTCTGTGCGTGCCTGTGTGTGTCTCTGTTTGTTTTTGCCTGTGGCTGCGTCCTATGTCTGTGTGCGAGTCTCTCCGTGTATTTGTTTGCGTCTGCGTGTTTCTGTTTGTGTGTGTCTCTGTGGTTGTGCTGTGCCTGAGTCGCTGTGTCTCTGTCGATGTGTCTCTGTCTGTGCGCAAGCCTTGTTTCATTGTGCATCGCCTTCACTATTGGCTGGGCGTGTGCCTTGCACTCGTGCCCCACATCCGCACCGGCTGCCAGCGCGCCGCACCCTTGCAGCTGGGATGCGGGGCATAGAGAAGTTTGCTCGCTCAGTCGCCTCCTGTATTCAGGTGTCGGGTGGACACCGCGCGCTCCTGCACATGCGTGGTTTCGTCGGCGTGTTCCACGTGGACGCGCACTCGTGCCATTTTTCTGCATGCGTCTGCTTCCATCCAAACCTCTTGTCTGCGACGCCAGATGGTACTTGCACTGAGCTTGCCTGGCCGAAGTCGTCGTGGCAGTACCGCCGCCACCTCACCGCTGGAGGATAGCAATGTCTCTGTGTGCGCGTGTCTGTGTGTGTTTGTGTGTTTGTGCTTGTGCTTGTGCTTGTGCTTGTGCTTGAGTTTGTGTTTGTGTTTGTGTTTGTGTGTGGTTGTGTTTGTATGTGTGTTTGTGCTTGTGTTTGTGGTTGTGCTTGTGTTTGTGTTTGTGTTTGTGTTTGTGTTTGTGTTTGTGTGTGCGTGCGTGCGTGTGTGTGTGCGTGTTTTTCTGTGTGTTTGTGTGTGTGTCTGTGTGTCTGTGTGTCTGCGTGTCTGTGTATCTGTGTCTGTCTCTTTGCGTGTCTGCGTGTGTCTGTCCGTCTGCGCGTGTTGGTCTGTCTGTTATTGCGCCTCGCCGCTGCGTGCGTGGCCGCGACGCCAAAAAGCATGTACACATGTGTGTAAGTGTGTGTGTCTGTGTCTTTGCCTGCGTCTCTGTCTGTGTGTCTGTCTGTGTCTTTGCGTGTCTTGGCGCGTTGCCCTCTGGAGGGCGTCTGGACGTGTCGTCCTGGGCCATCGCAGAGGCATTTGGGGGCCATCGCCTGCGCCTGGGGCTCTGGAGGCTCCCGCTGGGGCCTTTCATTTCCGGTCTTAGGGGGGCCTCGTGGGATCACGTGGCCATCTGGTCGCGCCCCGCATGTGACCCCAGGGGCGCCCAGAGCGGCCAAGAGGCCGAGGCACGCACCCCCGAAGACACCCAGAAAGAGCAGGACTGGAGAGACAAGGCGCGATCAACCGCACGCAGAATCAAGGGCGCAAGGCGGCAGTCCGGATACAACAACACAGCCCTGCGCCCGCAGGGGGTGCCAGCGGACCCAGCACGTATCCCAGCCGCGCTATCGAAGGCTGCAGCGATGGCGTCGCCGCAGCTTTTCGGGACTGTGATCCCGGAGCCGCGACCGCAGCTCAACACGAAATCTTGGTGGTCGCCAGGGTATGTCATCGGCCGCCTGTCTGCGATGCCATGGCGGAGGCCACCGCCTTGGAAGGCGCCAGCGTCGAGTTCCAGGCGAAGGCAGGCGTCGGCAAGCGGTCCGTTGATGGGATGGGGGAGGTACAGTGTGGGATCACGGGGGATCTGTCTCATGAAACCGCTTAGGGTCGAACGTATGCATCCTCGCTCTCTTGTCTTCCTACGTTTTCCACGCCGACCAAGCGCGAGTTCTCATTCTTCAAGTTGCACGCTATCTTTGGGCAGCAATCCCCACAAGCAGGTAGCATCAGGGGTTTCTTCATGAAGCTTTGTCCGCCGCGCGAAACGAAACAATGTGGCTCGCGTCTGAGACCTGGTAGCATCACCGCTGCAAGAAGGTTTCAATTGGTGACGGTGCCTCGCAGGGCATGTTTGACGAGTTTGGGCCTCCTCCTGCTCCTCTTGCTCCCCCCCATCCTCCTTTCAGCTGTATTGCTGAAGTTTGCCATTTCATTCCGCGTACCATGGAGGTAACTCTGCAGTCCTACTACATAGACGAGACGCCTGTGACCAACGCGCAGTTCCGGGAATTCGTCAGGGCCACACGTTTCAGGACGGACGCGGAAAACTACAGCTGGAGTTTCGTGCTCGACAGCGTCCTGAGCCAGAGAGAGAAGGACAGGAAGAGGAGGAGGAAAAGGGAGGAGGCCTTTGGTGGTCTCTGGAGGCCTCCTGAGATCCAAAAAGGGCCAAACCATGACAAAACAACTCGGACTTCGAAGACCAAGAGGGGGAGAAGGAGGAGGAGGAGGATGAGGAGCAGGAGGAGGGGGAGGAGGAGGAGGAGGAGAAGGAGGAGGAGTGGATGAGAGAATGATGCCACGGTTGCCTCGGCTTGAAGATGATCCCGCCACGGACACCATTCCCACCCGCACATGGCGCCGAAGAGACGAGAGAGGAGGAGGAGGAGGAGGAGGAGGAGGAGGAGGAGGAGGAGGAGGAGGAGGAGGAGGAGGAGGAGAGGACACCAACGAGCGCTACGTGGAGAACGCCACGCACTGGGTGGCGGTGGAGGGCGCCTGGTGGCGGCAGCCAGAGGGCAGAGACTCCTCGCTGGCGGGGCGCTGGCAGGACCGTCGCCTTGGCGCGGCGGCAGCCTGCGACGGCCCGAGGTCCCCCTCGGCGGCGACGACGGCGACGGCGACGAGCACGGCGCGCTCGGCCCCGACGGGCCAGGCCCGCGGCGGAGGCGGGCGCCGCCGTCGCGGAGGCGTGAGCAAGAGGAGGAGGAGGAGGAGGAGTTTGGTGTCGAGATTTCTGGAAGGGGCCATTGAGGCTCAGCGGGAGCGTGCCCTCCCCACCCACCTGGACTTTCAAAGGTAGGGCGTTGGCGTCGGTTGACACCGTACGACCGCGGCACGGGCTGGAGGGGGAAGCGCCCAGGAGAGCACAGGAACGGTGGGGGGGGGGCACCTCCTTGCGTCCATCCTCGAGGAAGGGGGGGAGGGGGATTCCAAGACCACGGTTTTCGAAGCTTTGTTGGTCCTGTCTGTGCCCCATGGGGAGCCCTCGTCGCCACGGCTGGATCTGCCTCGAAATTCCGGTCAGCACGCGCTCCAGGGGATATCCTGATAGATTTGGTCCTCCTCTTCCCTTCCAGTCATCCTTCCCTTCCTCCCCTCTCCCTCCTCACCTCTCCTCTCCTCCCCCATCCTTCCCTCCCCCATCCCTCCCGCTACTGTGCGTCGCCAAAAATGTCGACGCGTATTGTTGTCTCCCGATGTCGGTTTTCCAGAGCAGTTTTTGGGTCCCCAGATTTTCAGAAAAACAGCCCGCGGCAACAGATGACGAGAGATTTTGCCTCTCCCTCCATTCACCCCTTGGTAATAAAGGCAGATGTCTTGGCCATGTCGGACGACGGTCGACCAAAGTACCGGCAAGATGTTGAAACAAGGAAGGTTCCGGTTTTGGAAGGGGTTCGTTGTTCCTCAGGTCCTTGGATGGTTGTTCCTCCAGCGCTCCTCGTATAGCCCGGCGCGTTTGTGTCAAGAATGGGATAGATTCTTTATTCGGCGATCTTTCAACTCGGCTGCAGTCCCGAGTTGGCCCAGTTTGCGACAACAGCGTTGGGGCAGGCCTTTGGACGTTTTGGAGCAGCATTGGGCCTCTTTGGGATAGGCTTGGACCAAGTGTGGGAAGAGGAGTACTCAAGAATAGTAGAAAATAGTATGGTGACGATTTGTCATGCTCTTTGAACTATGTTTGCTTTGTGATTGGCTATGTTTTATCTGTCTTTCAGGAATATGCCTGTAGGAGGACGTGCACGACCTAATCAGAAGTCGGGCATGCATGTCCCTCTACAGGAGGACTGTTCAAAAATAATCAACAACAGTATTAGAAACGATGTTTTGATTATGTTTGAACATGTGTTGGTTACTTTTTGAGTACCTGTTATTTGTCGCTCGAAATCCGCCTGTAGGAGGACATGCACGACCTAAACCTAATATTTGTCAGCTCTGCCTTCCCTCCCTCAACCCCTCACCCCCTTGTGGTGTATGCTCTATGTGGGCATTCATGCGCTAGGAGCGTTTTGTGCTCCTCCTGCTCCTCCTCCTCCTCCTTCTCCTCCTCCTCCTCCTCCTCCTCCTCCTCCTCCCTCCTTGTCCTCGTCCTCCTCCTCCTCCTCCTCCTCCCTCCTCCTCCTCCTCCTTCCTCCTCCTCCTCCTCCTCCTCCTCCTCCTTCTTCCTCCCCTCTTTCCTCCTCCCCCTCCTCCTCTCCTCCTCCTCTCCTCCTCCTCCTCCTCCTCCTCCTCCTCCTCCTCCTCCTCCTCCTGCTCCTCCAATTCCTCCTCCAACCCTCCCCCCCCCCCCTTGAGGGAGCCACGTGGCCAGGACGTTCCAGAGAGATGGCCTCGCCCCCCTGACAGCGCCGAAGGCTTGCCTCGACCCCCTCCTCTCGCGGGGCCCCTCTCCCGCAGACAGGCCCGCGGAGGCCCCCCGCAGGAAGGGAGAGACGCTGTCCTGACAGGACCACCCGACAAGTACCCAACAAGCAGGCGTTTTTGGGATTCCCAGATTCCAATCTGCTTTAAGCGCCATCCTGCTTCAAGCGTCGAGCCTTGTCCCTTCTTTCCTCCTCTTCAGGAGGCAGGCGGAAGCCCAATCTACTTCCAACGCCTTTCTACCTCCTAGTGAGCGGCAAAGAGGGGGGTGATGACTAGGGGGGGATATCATGGCGTGGGCCATGATATTCCCCCAGATTTCGTGGCGCCTCTTCTTGTTTCCTTGCGTCCCTGACCCCGCTTGGGCCGCGCACATGCCGCCGGCCATGATTTGCGCCCCCCCTCCTGGACGCCCCCTCTTGGCCGCCCCCGAAAACAGGACCACCCCGAGAAAGTAAGCAGCACTATCCCAAGAAGTAGACGAAGTAGACACAGTGCATCCCAAAAAGTCAGTAGGACCCCCAAAACAGCACTAGGGGAACGGACCATGACATTAACGTACTAACTGGAATGTCCGCGCGGATTTCTCGGATCCGCGCTGGACCCCCTGGCAGCGCCTCCGGCACCGCCCCTGGCGCGCTCTGCGCGCCAGTGAGGGGGGTCCAGCGCCGATCCGAGAAATCCGCGCGGACCTCCGAGTTGTTATGTTTATGTCATTGCTTGTTTCCCTAAGTACTATCCCACGAAGTAGACAGCACCTTCAAAAAGTCAGCAGGACCCCCAAAAAACACCGAGCAGGACCTCCGAACAAGTACACAGGACATCGCAGCAAGCAAACAGGCCCTCACCAAACAGTAGACAGAGCCACGCCAAAAGTAAACCATATTCAACACCATCATCAGCAGCATCATCATCATCAGCATCAGCATCCTCATCATCATCAGCATTAGCATCAGCATCAGCATCATCATCACCATCATCATCATCATCATCATCATCATCATCATCATCATCAGAAAGAGCGTGTTCTACCGCTGCTGGCGGAAAACCGGGGGGGGTCACTACCGGTTCGAACCCCTCCCCCCCCCCCCTCCGGAAAACCGGGGGGGGTCACTACCGGTTCGAACCCCTCCCCCCCCCCCCCCCCGCTCATCATGAAAAGGGGGGGGGGTCACTACCGGTTCGAACCCCCCCCCCCCCCCTCCCGGATCCGGAAAACCGGGGGGGGTCACTACCGGTTCGAACCCCCCCCCCTCGAAAACCGAGTGGGGGTGCGGACAGTGGTGGGGACGGTGTTGGTGGGGACAGTGGTGAGGGGATAGCGGGACAGTGGTGGGGACAGTGGGACAGTGGGACAGTGGTGGGGACGGTAGTGGTGGGGACAGTGGTGGGGACAATGGTGGGAACAGGGGGGGACAGTGGACAGTGGTGGTGACGGTGGTGGTGGGGACAGTGGTGTGGGGACAATGGGAATGAGGTGGAAACAGTGGGACAGTGGAGGGTACAATGGTGGTGGGGACAGTGGTGAAGGCGGTGGCGAGGACGGCGGTGGGACAATGGGACAGAGGTACAGTGGGGACAGTGGTGGGGACAGTGGGGACAGTGGTGGGAACAGTGGGACAGCTCAGTGGGACAGCGGAGGAGTCAGTGGGACAGTGGGGACAGTGGGGATAGTCGGGCAGTGGTTGGGGCCGTGGAGACAGTGGGGAGAGTGGAACCGTGGTGGGAACAGTTCTGGGGACAGCGGGGACAGTGCGACAGTGGTGGGGCCACTGGTGGGGACAGTAGGGGCGGTGGTGGAACCAGTGGGGACAGCGGTGGTGAGGACAGTGGTGCTGGGAACACCAGTGGGGGATGTGATGCGGACGGTGGTGGGGACCGGGAGTCGTTTGCTGGCGGTGAGTAGGGGGGGGGGGGGGGGGGGGGGGGGGGGGGGGGGGGGGGGGGGGGGGGGGGGGGGGGGGGGGGGTTCGAAACCGTAGGGTTTTCGGATGCGAAACCGGTAGTGACCCCCCCCGGTTTTCGAGCGGGAGGGGGGGGGGGGGGGGGGAGGGGTTAGGGGAGGGGAGGGTTTTTTGCCGGGTGGGGGGGGGGGGGGGGGGGGGAGGGGTTCCAGCAGGGGGGGGGGGGGATTTTCGGAGGGGGGGGGGGGGGGGCGAACCCCCGGGTTCCAGAGGAAAAGGTTGGCAATTTTCCACAGTAAAGCGGCGGTGGATCACGCTCTCTCCATCATCATCATCATCATCATCATCATCATCATCATCATCATCATCATCATCATCATCATCATCATCATCATCATCATCATTATCATCAGTTGTCCCTTCAAATTCTCGACACGACGATCGCGCATCATCTCAAAAGCGGGTCCTTAAAATGATGTTCATCCCCGTGGTGGATCAGTCAGGTGGGTAGGCTAGCGGCTAGCGAAGATGTGTTGCGACGTGGTGTTGGGAATGGATACAGACTTTCCCGACAGGGAAGAATTGGGCTTGCCAAGATGACCTGTTCAGTCACCCAGATGCGCCCAGGAGGGAGGTTGGAGTTCCTCCTCCTGGATAGTCACATCGGCACGCGCGCTTCCATGATGGTGAGGTGGCCCCTTCCTGCATCAGCGCGCTAACTAGGACACCTGCTCTTGCCACAGATGTCTACAGTGGGGTGACCATGCCAAGAAGCACCCTGCTTGCATCCAGGGTGCCCTGTGTTTCTTGGGTTTCGATGGTGTTGCTGTGGAAGGCGCGACGTTCTCACACCAAAAATCAAGGGGCGTCCTGGGGTCTCAGGATTGGGTTTCTTGTGGAAGGTTTCTTGTGGACTGGCCTCCACTGTATTCTGGAGTGTGTTCGAGGGAGCACCCCCATGCCACTCCGCCCGACGGCCCGTTGCATCCCCCCCGCGCGCGCCCACGCTGCCGTCCCCCACCCCCGCGATCCGACCCCCAGCCCAGAATCGAATCGATAAGTCGGATCGGCAATCGAAATACATCGGATCGGAGGAAATCGGCAGCCGAGTCGGGAAAAGTCGACTCGGCGGAAATCGGCAGGCTATAGTGGGCCTCCAGTGAGAAAAGTCGGAGCCCAGATCGGAATCCGAGATCGAAGCGAATCGGATTCGGAAGCCATCGAGATCTCGAATCGACTCGGATCGGAGGAATCGAAACGAGCCCCCCACGCTCACTCGGCAACCCAGAGGAACCCTGTCCGACCCTCCCCCCGCCCGCTTATCGGCCCCGCGCTCCGCCCGGCCGCCCGGCTTTGGGCGAGACGGCAGGACTACCCCGCCGTGCACGTGAGCTGGAACGACGCGGCTGCGTACTGCCGGTGGGCGGGCAGAAGGCTTCGAGCAGTGGCGAAGCGTTCTGGCTTGCCCACATCGAAGAAGAAGAAACGACATAAACATAACCTTTTGGCGCTCCGCGCGGATTTCTTGGATCCGCGCTGGGCCCCCTGCCAGCGCCTCCGGCACCGCCCCTGGCGCGCTCCGCGCGCCAGGGAGGGGGATCCGGCGCGGATCCAAGAAATCCGCGCGGAGCGCCAAAAGTTTATGTTTATGGCGTTATTTCTTCTTCTATTCTGGCTTGCCCATCAGGCCCATCAATTAATGTTCTGGGAACCGTATTTCTGGTCTGCGCGAAAAAAATTGGAACATTGTTCTGGCTGGGGCTGGCTCGATTCCACGCATCAGGCTCACGTTCCAAGAGCATGGCTTCTTGTGATTAGAACAGCTTTGGGGGCTCCGAGAACGGGACGGGACGGTCGGTCCCTGCCGGGACGCTCGGGGCGTCGTGGTGGGCTGATGGGAGTGCCGGGACGGTCGGCCCCTGCCCGGAGGCTGCCCACCGAGGCCGAGTGGGAGAACGCGGCGCGCGGGAAGCGGAAGGGCGCGCTGTACCCTTGGGGCGACGGCGGCAGCGCCAGGGCCGTGGTCGGCGGGCCGTCCCGAGGGCCCAGGCAGGGCCCAGGCAGGGCGCGTGCAGGGCCACGAAGGGGGGAGGAGGAGGAGGAGGAGGAGGAGGAGGAGGAGGGGAGGAGGAGGAGGAGGAGGAGGAGGGGGAGGGGGAGGGGGAGGAGGGAGGAGGAGGGGGAGGGGGAGGGGGAGGGGGGAGGGCGAGGAGGAGGGGGAGGGGGAGGGGGAGGGGGAGGGGGAGGAGGAGGAGGAGGAGGAGGAGGAGGAGGAGGAGGAGGAGGAGGAGGAGGAGGAGGAGGAGGACGGGAGGAGGAGGAGGAGGAGGAGGGGGGGGAGGAGGGGAGGAGGAGGAGGGGGGGGAGGAGGAGGGCGGAGGAGGAGAGCGGAGGAGGAGGAGGAGGAGGAGGAGGAGGAGGAGGAGGAGGAGGAGCCTCTGTGGCGCGTTTCGGGAACCCTGCGGGACACGCGGCTCGAAGAACGGGCCAGGAGGGACACAGCAGCCACGGGTCCGAGGACAGGTTTTGAGCGGGCTTTGGGTCGGGGGGGGGCGAGGTAGGCTTAAGTCGGGCATGTCCCTCTACAGGAGGAATTTTCAAACCTAGTCGAAGAATCATTGGAGGACAATGTTTTGACAATGTTTGACCATTCTTGTGAATATGGTTTAACTATGTTTAGATTTTCGTTCCAAAATCTGCCTGTACGGGGACATGCCCGACCCAAAGGTAGGCCGTCCAGAGGCCGAGAAAAGCTGAGAGCATGGACCGACTCTTTTCCTCCTTCCTCGGCCAGGCGTTGCCTGAGGAGTCCCTGCCCCTCTTGTGCGCAAGGGCCGGCGGCTGCATGCGAATACGAGCCGTGTCAGCGCCGCACCCCTGGTGAGGCCGCAGCATTGTGTTGTCAGTCGAGCTCGCGATCAGAAGCAAATGTCTCTTGGATCCCTGTGCCGGGGCCCCCAGGTTCGTTGTGTACATTGGGTCCCTCGGGCGAACGGGTTCCTCGGGGCCTTTTCATTACTACTCCCTCGCACCGTTTGGGATTGCAGAGGTGAATCCGCACCGCATCGCATCGCATCGTTCCGATGTGGAGCATTGGAGTCGCATCCTGTTGCACATGACTTGTTATCGTTGCGTCGATTTTGGGATCGCATTGAAGGTTATCGCATTGCGTTGATTTGCGTTGAACTTTCTTACATTGCGTCGCCGTTGCCACAGTCAGTACCGTAGGCATTGCCATCGCTTTGTATATTTGGTGAGTGTTTTATTGCGTTGAATCGCAATGGTATTCTCATGCCTTGCAGTGTTAAGCAACACATCGCTGCGTGTTGCAGTACATTGCGCGCATAGCGCTTTGCATCCGATTACATGGTGCCGGTAGTGCATTGCATTACGTTGCTGTGCCCCGCATTGCTTGACAATGCATTGCGTTGCATTGCATCCGCACTTCTCTGTACTTTTACATCGCAGCGCTATGCATTGCGTTACGTTACCTTGATTTGCCGTGAAATTCATTTCTTCACATTGCTTGGAATCGGTTTGCATTTCGTTGCATGGTTTGCATGGCGAAAGCGAGTCTTAGGACATGTTTGGCATGGGATTGGTTTGCCCTCCTTCGCCACACATCACATTACACTGCATTGCGCAGGGCATAGCGCACCCTATCTGAGCTTCAATATGACAAGAGCTTGTCTGCGGCATGGCATGGGACCTCCTCGGAGCAGTTTTCTCGGCAGCAGCACGTTGCCTCCGCATTCTGCGAGTCGCCCGCCCATGGCCTCTCTCTTCAGCATAGAGGGGACTCCGGTTGGGGACTCTGGTTCGGGACTCTGGTTGGGCCCTCTGGTCATACATCTATATATATATAGACATGTGTACAAACACACATATATATATATACGTTTATAGACATATAATGTTAAATCTACGTGTATACAGATATACAAATGTATTTGTATTGATATATCTATATATATACATATAGATATATTTGTATGTGTATATATATATATATATACATACATCTGGATTTCTCTTCCCATATTCCCGGAAAGGGCTTCAGGCCCAGGGTTCTCTTTTAGAGGTTTCTCCCGGTTTTGACGGGAAGAGGGCCGGCTGATTTCTTTTGCGAAAAATAACGAATGGGAAGAGGGCCGGCGAATTACAATTTGAGGATGTCTCGAGCGAAACGCTTGTGTTTCAGAATTTGTTGAGGATGTCTCGAGCGAAACGCTTGTTTTGTGTTATAGATTGTCTTCTCCTGGGGACCAGAATTTAGAGGATCTCTCAAGTGAAATGCTTGGTTTCACGTGCCCAGGTCTTGAGGATGTCTCGAGCGAGACGCTTGGTTTCACGCCTCCAGGTTGCCTAGGCAGAGGTCAAGCACCAGGATTTGTTGAGGATGTCTCGAGCGAGACGCTTGGTTTCACGCGTCCTCGTCGCCCAGGCATATGTCTAGAATGAGGAGGTGTTGAGGAAGTCTCGATCGAGATGCTTGTTTGCACGTGTCCAGGTTGCCCAGGCGGATGCCTAGCATGAGGATGTGTTGAGAATGTCTCGATAGATACGCTTGTTTTCACGTGTCCAGGTCGCCCAGGCGGATGTATAACATGAAGATGTGTTGAGGATATCTCGAGCGAGACGTTTGCTTTTACGTGTACAGGTCGCCAAGGCGGATGTCTAGAATGAGGAGGTGTTGAAAACGTCTCGAGCGAAACGCTTGTTTTCACGTGCCCAGGTCACCCAGGCGGACGTCTCACATGAAGATGTGTTGAGTATGTCTCGAGCGAACTACTTGTTTTCACGTGTCCAGTTCGCCCAGGCGGATGCCTAGCATGAGAATGTGTTGAGGATGTGTTGAGCGAAACGTTTGTTTTCACGTGTCCATGTCGCTCAGGCGGATGTCTAGAGTGAGGATTTTGACAGGATGTCTCGAGCGAAACGCTTGTCCCCAGCACGTTCCGTAGCGCGTCCCCTTGGCACGTCCCGCGGTGCGTCCCCATGGCACGTCCCCTGGCATGTCGCCTGGCGCGTCCCTTGGGACGTTTCGCGGCGCGTCCTCCTGGCATGTCCCCTTGTCAATTAGCTCTGCGGCAGATACGATGTGTTCAGGCAGCTCGAGCTTAAGATCCAGATCAGTTCGGTCAGGACTCGGATGCAAAGGAAGACTCGATCCACGACGCTATAGAGCACAACCGCGGCATGGCCAGCACAGACTTCGGCACGGTACATCAAGATCGATACAATCAGCATTGCAACCTGGCACGTTCCTTGGCACGTTCCGTGGGGCGTCCCTTGGCGAGTCCCCCTGGCACGTCGCGTGGCGCGTCCCCTGGCACATTCCGTGGCACATCCATTGGCACGTTCCGTAGCGCGTCCCCTTGGCACGTCCTGCGGTGCGACCCCATGGCACGTCCCCTGGCACGTCGCCTGGCGCGTCCCTTGGGACGTTTCGCGGCGCGTCCTCCTGGCATGTCCCCCTGTCAATTAGCTCTGGGGCAGCTACTATGTTTTCAGGCAGCTCGAGCTTAAGATCCAGATCAGTTCGGTCAGGACTCGGATGCAAAGGATGACTCGATCCACGACGCTATAGAGCACAACCGCGGCATGGCACATCGCAATTCAGCACGGTGCAGCACAGCACAGCCCTCGGCACGGTACATCAAGATCGATACAATCAGCATTGCATTTGCCCGTCACCCAATCAGGTGTCTTTCAAAACGTTGCCATGCGTTACGTTTCTATATTCCTTTCCGGGTTCGTGCGTCGCATATTCGCCTTTCGAATTTCACCAGCTTTCAAGACGGTTTCACAGCCCCCGAGATCGCCTCCAGACGCCCCAAAAGGCCCCCAAGAAAGCTTCAAGACGGCCGAGCCGGGCCCCACGATCGCCCACGAGAGCCCCAAGACAGCCCATACTGGAACCAAGAGGCCCTCCCATGACCCAAAAGGGCCATGGGAGGTCCCCGGAAGTGCCCAAGATGGGTCCACAGGGGGCTCCAGCGGGCCCAAGCTCCCCAAGACGGCCCAAGAAGGCCCCAGGACAACCCATGAAGGCACCAAAACGGCCCACGAGGGCCCCGAAAACACCCCCACGATGTTTCCGAATGCCAACATAAAGACCCCCAAGGCACCCCAAAAAGCTTTCCAAGGGGCCTTCAAAACACAAAAATCGTCCCATTCCCTTCGTAAAGCTTACAATTTTAGCAGATTCGCTTTTCTGATATCATCAGCTTTCAAGACGGTTTCAAAGCCCCCGAAATCGCCTCAAGACGCTCCAAAAGGCCCCCTAGAAAGCTTCAAGACGGCCGAGCCGGGCCCCACGATCGCCCATGAGAGCCCCAAGACAGCCCAGAATGGAACCAAGAGGCCCCCCAAGGGCTCCCAGCACAGACCCAAACGGGCCATGGGAGGTCCCCGGAAGTGCCCAAGATGGGTCCAAATGGGGCTCCAGCGGGCCCAAGCTCTCCAAGACGGCCCAAGAAGGCCCCAGGAGGGCCCATGAAGGCGCCAAAACGGCCCACGAAGGCCCCGAAAACACCCCCACGATGTTTCCGAATGCCAGCATTCATTGATTTTGCCCCCATGACATTTCACATTCTGACCCAGTCGTTGAGGGTCTTGTGGCATGCAGCGAAGATGCCCGACGATGCCCCGTACGAGTTGCATATGCATGTTCATACCCTTGCACACATAAATTTATATATATATATATATATATATACATTTGTACGCTGCATACACACATACAACAATGTGAGTACATTGTATACACCTAGACATATATACGGAACGTGCATGCGCGCGCGTGTATACATGCATGCGCGCATGTACGCACGCACGCATTCCGCTTGCGTGCAGAACTCAAAGGACCAAGGTGCATGGCGCGCAGCGCCAATGCAGTCTTGTATATATATATATATGTATATATATATATATGTATATATGTATATATATATATATACATATATATATATATATATATATAGATGTATTACCTGGGACCCCTCCCGTAATCGGACCACCGAAT